TTTTTCCTCGCTCATGTTCTCTTATAATATAGTTATTATTTATTGTGCTTTTTGTAATTACATCAAGGGAATTTTAAACACAATTACAAATTAGAAACAAACATTATACGGTTTTTTTAGGTCTTTGAAATTTAAAACAGAGGTCTTATATTTTAAAAGGACTTATCATTAAAAAGAACTGTCAATAATAAAAAGTATTTTTTTTTACTATGTAAACAAGTTATAGGGTTTATTGCACGAAATCCCCCTGTATTATATGAAATCTGCGCGTTTTTCCCTGGTATTTTAAAAATTGCGTCAAACCCCCTCGTATTTCATATTTGCATGCACACTCGCTATTTCCAGCTAACGCCGTTACTTTAAAGCTGACGGCGTTACTTTTTCATTAAATTTACGTTTATACCCTTACTTTAACATTGAATTTACTATTTTACCCTTAATGTTAATATATTGACCTAAAAGAAAAATGCCAATGGTGGGGATTGAACCCACCACCTTTAGGTTGTAAAAGACAACTCTTACCAATTGGGCTACTATTCACTTAGTTATATATGTAATTTTATCTATATATATCACAGTACAGCGGAAATATCATATAATTAAGTATATAGATTCTAAATTATAAATATCATAATTAATTATATAGATTCTAAATTATGAATAATATAATAATTAATTATATAGATTCTATATAATGTAATAATTAAGTATATAGACTCTAAGTTATAAATAATATAACCATTAAGTATATAGATTATAAATTATAAATAATACAATAATTAAGTAAATATTTTCTAATTTATAAATAATATAATAATTAAATAAATATATTCTAAATTAAAATAATATAATAATTCGTTATATATATAAATAATACAACGATGAAATAAATATATTTTAAATTATAAATAATATAATGATTGAATAAATAGATTATAAATTCAAAATAAAATAATTATTAAATAAATATAAATATATAATAAGTAATATATTGATTCAGTAAATATAATATAAAATATAAATGATATAATAATTAATAAAATATATTATAAATTCTAAATAATATAATAAGTAAATGAATAAATTTCAAAATAATGAATAAATAGATTCTAAAGTATAAATAATATAATAATTGAATAAATTATATTCTAAAGTATAATGATAATTATAAATCATAAATAATATAGTAATTCAGTATATAGATTTTATGATAATTGAATGAATAGATTCTAAAATAGAAATAATATAAATAATTAACTAAGTATGTTCTAAATTATAAATAATATAATGATAATTATAACTTATGAGTAATATAACAATGCACTATATATTTTTTTATAATAATTGAGTAAATAGATTCTAAATTATAAATAATATATTCTAATGTATTTACTCAATTATTATAAAACAAATTATTGAATTAATATATTACTTATAGTTTATAATTATAATTATATCTCATAAAAAAGGATACTTGATATTTTAATTAATAGTGTTTTACATAATGAATAGTATTTTTTATTTATTATACATTTACCTGAATTTAAAATAAACATAATGAATAAATAATAAGTACTTAAATTATTTATTACAAATTCAAAAATAATAATTTTATTGAAAAAATTAAATATATATATTTGTCGAACATTTAAAAATAATAATACAATATAACAACTAAATAAAAAAATAAATACAAATCATATGTAGCTATTGCATAGAAAATATTTTATTTACAAATTACTACTTTCATAATATATTATATATAGAAGTATAATTTTATTTTATTATAAATAAATTTAATTTAATTTTATTTTATTTTATTTATTTTTATTATATTAATTCAATATAAAAATGTATATTTAAATTTAATTTTATAATTTATTTCATATTTATATTTTTTAATTTTTTATATGAATTTATCTTTTTGTTTTTATATTAAATAGTAGTATAATTATATATTATTTTCAAATTTTACATTAAATTTTATTCAATTTAATTTTTATTTTATTTTATTTTTATTATATTTTCTTATATTACATTATTTAGTGTTTATTTTATTTTTCAATTTTTGTTTGATTAAGTTTTCCACTGTTCGTGTTGTTTAAATGAATCTGTGTTAAATATGTATCATTGAATGATGGTGGCCAAGTGGTTTGAAGTCTTGTCTACTAATGTTTTGGCCCAGGTTCGAATCCTAGGAGCAGCAAAACATTTTGTCCATCAATAGGTAGAAAAACAAGGGGCAAAATAGTAAATTTTAATTTTAAAATAAAAAATAAATGAAAAAAATAAATAATTATCGCAGTACATGTATGTGTGTTACACGCGCCGTCAAGTTGGACGGAGAGGGGGGTATCGTGCAACAGTTACTTAATACAAGGGGGTTTGACGCAATTTTTAAAATACCAGGAGAAAACGCGCAGATTTCATATAATATAGGGGGATTTTGTGCAATAAACCCACAAGTTATATGAACATATGTATAACTTTATATAGCTTTTTTGTGTTATAGATGATCAATCACATGATTAAACAAAAAGATATTTGTTATAAGTATGTAATCTAAAATGAAAATAATATCAACATTCTATTTTTTTTTTCAAAATAATGTTTATTCTTAACTTGCATCATATCATATTATACTATCTTCTTATCGATGTCCAAGTTTTACAATTAATATACTAATTATTATTAGTATTTACAAAATTATAAACTCAATAATACGTATTTATTTTCACTTAATCATGACTGATAAATTCTAACAATTAATATTAAGAAAGAATTACCTCATTTGAAATTTACCCTAAAGCTATAATCTTTGAGTCTCTAATATATACCTTAAGTGTTGTCCGTGTTTCTTTATTAAAAAAAGCTATATTAAAAAGTAAAATAAAAGGATAATTACATCGTAAATGCCATATAATGGACATGATGAATAAGATAATGAATTGTGACCCATTTACTACATGTATGATACTTCCTCGGATCTCTTGATGTTGTTTGTGGAGCTGTTGCGCTTTCACCTTCATTTGAAAAGAAATCTTCACACCATCGTACTGAGGACATTTCGCCTTGCTATGATCGCTGACCCCACACCGGGAGCACCTCTGCTCGCACCGTATGATCCCTCTCTTGCAGAATAGCGTTGAGTGTGTGGTCGACTTGCTTGTTTGGGATTGTTTGGCGGAGTTACCTTTATCGGCATAATGTCCGGGGGCAACAGTCATTCATCTGGATACGAGACGAAGTCAATGGTGCTTTGTTACATGCTTGCTACTGAGAAAGTTTTGTAATGGTCGTCGACGAAATCTATTATATCAAAGCAACTTCCTTGTTACATATCATAAATTTGCGAACCATATTAGAATATAATAAAAGAAGACCGTGCACTTAATAAATAAATAATATGTAGTTTGGTTAATATTACGAACGGTCGTAGATGCATGCATGCAAGGCAGTTGATATGTTTGAAACACATGACAGTCACATATTCTTGCCTCTAAAACTATCGTACTTCTTCCATAATTTTATAACGTTGTATGTCAAATGTGGTAATGGACAAAGTACGACATTTCTCGAACAAAAGATCCAACCGCAATTGAGTCAACTCCGTTAGCGGATGATTGTGACCTTTGACATTTGCATGCCAATCAGCAAAAAACACACTCCACCGCCAAGCATACGGATTACGTCCTAGCCCAAAAGAGTTTGTTGTTCAAACTTTCTTAGGAACTGAAAGTAATGAATTGATATTGTGTAGACAACGTGTTGATGGAAATCGTTAATATTTTCTTGATTTTTCATGAATGATCAAAATTGATTAACGGCCATAACTTTGGGTATCAAAACTAGTTAATCGAAAATTTCTGATACCAAGGCAAAAATGAAGCGAACTCGGGTTACCATACATTATTTTTTACCTTAATTTATATTTCATGTGCGTGTGTGATGATATATTTATAAAACCACATTAACAATTGAAGATAAAATAAACAAATAAATGCTAAATAATTTAATATAATTTATTTATATTATAAATTCGTGGTACTTGTACTAGTCATATGTAATGCACAATGTAGGCAAAACCACAATATGATCCACTTGGTAAAAAATTATAAGTAAATTCAAGTAAACAATTAAATAGATTAGAATTGGAAATACAATTTCTATCTACTAGCTAGCTATATAATGTGAACAAACCATAATTTTCTCTACACAGTATATAGTAATCATGCATACATCATCACGAAATTTGCGATCTCTTGTATTGGAGGATGAAAACAGTACAAAATTTCTGACAACTAGTATTAGAGGATGAAAAGACCAAAGCATTTGAGCATTAATGGTACTATAAGCACGTCATCATCAATTGTACGAAGGTAAAAAGACTGCAACACAACAACATTTGTGATCACTTGTATGAGAATGAAAAGACTGCAAAAACACTTGTCAATTGTGATCACTTTGTATGCGGATGAAGAGCACAACACATCATCACTGCATTTGAGTTCATTTGTATGAGAATGAAAAAACTATAACACATCGTAATTGCTTGTGATATAACTTGTATGAGGATGAAAAGACTTGAAGCATTTGAGCATATTAGACATCACTATGGTGGTTCATGAGAAACTTGTTTTTGGAGTCTCAACTTTTACATGTGAATGACTACAACTAAAAAGAGAGATAATGTCATAAACACCCAAAGTTGAATGCTAGAAGCCAAACAAGAAGCATCACCACGAACCCTTTAAAACGACGAATATAAATCCTGAGGTACAGCAAAATTGAGTTCAGAAATATCATAAAACAGAACAAGGAAAACAGATCAATCGTCATCCTCATCGATAAATTTGGTGCCCAAGCCCTTGAGCCCTCCATCTGGAATTTCAGCAACAGTCACCAAAGAGTAAAGCTCCTCCTTTGCATCCTCATCATCATTCCTCTTCCGGGCAATGCGAACACGGATTCTTCTTGGCACACTACGAATCCCACGGCTCCAAATGTGTTTGTTAAGCTTCACGTCAACCCTAACGTCAGTAGTCCCCATGGCCTTCTGGGCAAACTTCCTGATTTCCTTAATGGCCTTCGGAGCCTTCTTCTTAAAAGTGCTACATTTGAATATTGATACAATTTATCAGAAAACTGAATCATCCTTAAGTCTAATCAACACTACAACATCACATATACTTGGCCGAAGAACATGATTAATTGATGAAAATTGGAGGGAATATCAAATCCTTATTATAGTGCTAAAAAGACAGGTTACAGATGGAATCACACGCAATTAGAAATGGGATCTCATTAATATGGGTAAGAGTGTATCATAAATCAATACGTAAATTCAATAACAGTTGGCGTACATGAGGGTATATAATAAGCAAATATTTCTTGTTTGCTGCGCAAATCAAAGTAGTATTTTAAATAAAATTATGACAAAAAAGACAGCTTGTGAGTGATGGTTTATTTTAGAGAATAAACAAACATATCACAAAATAAGAAGGATACATAGAGCATAAGAAACATGAACAAATAAAAGGAGATCCACATAATTAAACAAAGCAAGCCAAATCCTAATGTCAGAGGCAATATTCAAGTCAGACTAATAGGAACTAGGTGCCTCCACCAGTTATGACAATGTATAATATAATACATTGGTTCACTACAGGCTTTATGTTAATCAGACAATGACAGGTATCAAATCGCACTCGCAGAACAAAAAGAGATAATTTGAGGATACAAAACAAAATCTTTGCAAGCATTCAACAAATATACGAAAAGAAACAAAGACTTGGGATTTAAACGAAGTATGCGTAAACGAAGCATTATCATACATCAAATTTGAACTCAAGACATAAACCAAAGATCTAAAGTATATCAAAAGGCCACGATCAAGCTGAATGCGTGGGCGTGAGAGAAAGAAAGAGGTTAGATACCATCCATGAAGGCGTTTATGAAGATTGATGGTGTACTCCCTAGTAACGACCTCCTCTTTCCTGGCCTTCCTCTCCATTGTTGTTATCAAAATGCACCGCCTCTTAAGTGGGTGAGAGCTTTAGGGGCGAGCAGAGTAGAAACCCTAATTTCTGTGGCAGCAAACTTATATATAAATATCACTGGATCTTAGGAGAAATGTCCTCCATTAGTGTTAAATTACAGACATACTCTTTGCTATTAGATTATTAAAATGTAGAAAGGCCCAATCTGTTCCGACTCTGAGCCCTTGTTAAAACACACCCCTGATTTACGTGTTGTCTTGTCTCTGAAAATAATATGACCAACTCAATATTTTAAGAGGCCCAGCCGAAGACTTTGGGAATACAGCCCAATAGACTTCTTTTCAACTAGGCTTAATGACGGTATTAGCATGGGCCAAAAGACACAACTAACCGCCCAATAAAAAGAAATTCCACTAGAATATGACGTCATACTGAATTCCAAAATTGTATCAAAAAGAAGTTACAAATCCCCTCTACATATAATTTCAGAATGCACTGAGCCTACGTGGCAAATTCTCATGCTTTGGAATCTTATTTGGCAAAAAATCATGCTTTGGAGTTAGGCTTGGATATAAATTAATATTTGTATTAATTGTACTTTAATATCATTTCCCATTATAACCATTGAATTGCAAATATATTTTAAAAGTTGATAACTTTTGTATTTCTTATCGGTTTTACATATATAATATATCAAATTAATCATCTTTTGATGAGCTTCGATTTGACATCCATATTGTATATATAAAATAAATAAATAATATTCATCTTTGTAATAATAATAAAATTATCTATTAAAATTAATTAGAAAATAAAATTATTTATCAATTAATATTTTGCTTAATATTAAATAAACACATTCTACACTTATGTATATACATATCACCATAATATTTTACTTAAGATATATATTTTCGTACTTATGTAAAAGTAAATAATATCGATATTATTATGATATAAGTAAAAAAATTCAACACGGGTTGACATTTTCATATACATATTGTATATATAAAATAAATAAACTATATTTATCTTTATAATAATAATAAAACTATTTATTACAATTAATTAGAAAATAAAATTATTTATCAATTAATATTTTTCATAATATTAAATAAACATATTCTACACTTATGCATATACATATCAGCATAATATTTCTATTTACATAAGATATATATTTTTTTGCTTATGTAATAGTAAATAATATCGATTATTATATGATATAAGTAAACAAATTCAACACGGGTTGACATTTTTATTTAATGTACATGTGTTTACTTATTATGATTAAAAAAATAATATTTTTTACAAAAACTTTTTAATTCAACACCCGTGTAATAAACGGGTATTGCATTAGTAAAACATTTAATTTAAAATTTAAAATCAATAACTATTTTATCTCTCTTCATATTTTATTCTCTTTATTCATTCTCTCTCTATTTTTCTTTTCACGTTTTTTCTTCTCTCTTCTTCAACTTATTTTTCATTTTCTTCTTCAATCTTCAACACCTGAGAATAAAAACAACAAAAAATGAAATAAAATAAAATAAAATAAAATAAAAAAGATTGATCAATACAATTAAATTAACTAAAAAGCAATAGAAATATTTGTTATTGTAACTTAGAAAAATTAATAATATATATTATGACAACATCAAAAGTAACAATAAAACAACAACATAACATTTATCAAACAACATGAAAATAACAATAAAAAAACAACATAATATTTATCAATCAACATGAAAACAACTATGTATAAATAATAAAATATTATCTCTTGATTAGTATTTATAAAGTCACCCAAATATTTGTATATGCAAATCCATTTTCCAGAAAAAATACTAACTCTCATATAGATTTATAAATTATAAGTTCACAAAAAAGAATATTTTGCTTAACCACAAATTTACAGCTACATGTTTAACTTAAGTGACAAAGCTTCATAGTGCCAGAATGTATCAGGATAGTACAAATCAATTGCCCCAAGTAAGTATACAAAATAAGACAAATCAATATCCTTCAAAATTTGAAAACTAAAATTTGACATCTACTTTCGCAAAAGCTATAAGTCAAACCACATCTTTAACATACACTGAAATTTGATAAATTTACAAACAATTCAACTCTTCCAAAATAAATTATGGAAAAAATCAATTCCAGACCCCATTTTTTGGCCGCACAGATTTGATAAAAAAATAGAAAAAACACATCAAATTTTACCAACATAGTTTAATTAATTCCAAAATCAATTGCTCGTTAAACTAAAATCAATTTACACATGAATTTACACAACAAACACACAAGACTTGGAATCTATTCTTCCTTACTAGAGCTTGGTGGCGGTGGACATGAGCTTCAAGTTATGAGCTACAACTTGAGCACTACGGTGGCCGCCGGGAGGGCCCTATTTGGATTTGGTTCGTCTGTTAGGGGCCTAAACAAACCGTTTATCCCGATCTGTCCAGATTGGAGCCTCGATGTCAAGTATTTTCCTTCAAAATGAGCCGGAACCACCCACGCAATATTTCAATCGCCGATTGTCTAGATTGGAGCCTCGATGTTAAATATTTTCCTTTTGTAGCATCGATCCTAAATACCGGAATGTCTTCTTCTTGGCCACCACTTGCCCGTCAAGGCTACGTCGCCATCATCATGTGTAGCCATGCTGAAAGCGCACATCATGTACTCGGTCTTCGTCCTACTAAGTCTGAAGCCTTTCGACTCTAACGTGTCCTTCCACAGCTCTAACATCCAATTTACCCCTGCTCTACTCTAGTTCACTAACACCACATTATCAGCAAAGAGTATACACCAAGGGATATCACCTTATATGTCCCTTGTGACCTCATCCATCACCAAGGCAAATAGATAAGGGCTCAATGCTGACCCCTGGTGTTGTCCTATTTTAATTGGGAAGTCGCTGGTGACGCCCCCACATGTTCGGACACACGTCATCGCATCCTTGTACATATCCTTGATGAGGGTAATGTACTTAGATGGGACTTTGTGCTTTTCCAAGGCCCACCACATGACATTTCTCGGTACTCTGTCATAAGTCTTCTCAAGGTCGATAAAGACCATGTGCAAGTCCTTCTTTTGGTCCCTATATCTCTCTATCAACTGTCGAATTAGGAAAATCGCCTCCATGGTCGACCTTCCAGGCATAAACCCAAATTGGTTTTGGCTCACACTCGTCACTTGTCGTAGGCGATGCTCGATAACCCTCTCCCAGAGCTTCATCGTATGGCTCATCAACTTAATCCCACGGTAGTCACCACAGCTTTGAACATCTCCCTTGTTCTTGAAGATCGGTACTAAAGTACTTCTCCTCCAAATTGGTTTTGGCTCACACTCGTCACTTGTCGCAGGCGATGCTCGATAACCCTCTCCCAGAGCTTCATCGTATGGCTCATCAACTTAATCCCACGGTAGTCACCACAGCTTTGAACATCTCCTCCATTCTTGAAGATCGGTACTAAAGTACTTCTCCTCACCACGCGTCTATTGGTATCCTTAAATGAGTCATCCAACTCTAGTGTAGGACCCTCACTCTCCCCATTAAACAATTTGTCAAAGTACTCTCGCCATCTGTCCTTGATCTCCCCATCCTTCACCAGTGGCCGGTCCGACCCATCCTTAATGCATTTAATTTGGTTGATGTCCCTTGTCTTTCTCTCCCGAATCTTAGCCATCCTATAAATGTCCTTCTCCCCCTCCTTTGTGCCTAGGCGCTGATAAAGGCCATCATAGGCCTGACCCTTCGCTACACTCACGGCACGCTTTGCAGCCCCTCTCGCTATTTTATAGCTCTCAATGTTGGTTGCACTCTTGTCAAGGTGGAGGCGCTTGAAACACTTCTTCTTCTCTTGAATAGCCCTTTGCACCTCGTCATTCCACCACCAAGTGTCCTTCGCTTCCTGCTTGCCTCCCCTACTCACACCAAGTACTTCTGCAGCCACCTTCCGTACACATGTTGCCATCTTTAGCCACATGTCATCTGCATCTTCTCCTTCTTCCCAAGGCCCCTCACCTAGCATTCTATCCCTAAACGTCTGCACCGCTTCCCATTTAAGCTTCCACCACTTCGTTCTCACGGTCTTGACACATTTGTCTCGGTGGACACGTGTTCAGAATCGAAAGTCTGCCACCACCAGCTTATGCTGGGGGACAACATACTCCCCAAGTATCACCTTGCAATCTACGCAAGCGCTTCTATCCTCCCTCCTTGCAAGGATAAAGTCGATCTGACTTGAGTGTCGTCCACTATGGAAGGTCACCAGGTGAGATTCCCTCTTCCTAAAGAGGGTGTTCGCTATCAACAAGTCGTAGGCCATTGCAAAGTCCAACACACCCAAACCCTCCGTGCACTCTCTCGAAACCTACCTTAGTCGCACCCACATGGCCGTTTAGGTCCCCTCCTACGAAGAGCTTCTCGCTAGCAGGCACCGTACTAATCAAGGCATCCAGGTCCTCCCAGAATTGCCTTTTTACGCTCTCACTAAGACCTACCTGAGGGGCATAGGCACTGATCACATTCATGGTCAAATCTCAAACTACCAATAGGACTAGGATAATCCGGTCACCTTGCCTTCTAACATCGGCAACTCCATCCTTAAGGCTCCTATCGATCAAGATGCCTACACCATTCCTACTCGATGAAGCCCCAGTGAACCAAAGCTTGAAGCCAGTATCCTCCACCTCCTTCGCCTTCTGTCCCTTTCATTTAGTCTCCTGGACGCATAGGATATTAACACGCCTCCTAGTAGCTGCATCGAATAGCTCACGTAATTTACCCGTTAGAGACCCTACGTTCCAGCTACATGTACGGACTCTAGTTGGTTCGACTAGCTTTCTTGCCCTTCGCGCCCGTCGAGAGAGATGCGAAGACCCTTGCTCATTTTTCACTACACCCGGGCGCCGATGTAGCGCGCCACTAAGAAAATGACGACCCGGTCCTTGCTCACTTAACACCATGCCCAAACGACATGATGGCGCGTCCCCAAGGGGGAGACGACCCCGCCCTTGCCCATTTGACACCATACCCGGGTTCCGATATGGCGCGTCGCTAAGAGGGTTACGCCCCAACGAATTTCTCATGTGTTTAATCTCCATAGAACGGCTAGGTTTTACGTTGGCTCGCCAAGCCTATCACAATCCTCCTCCTTTACCAGGGCTTAGGACCTGCTATGTTGAGACAACATAGGCAGAGTTAGGCCATACCCCCAACCTGTATATATAAAGGCCCTAAATGAGCTGGAAAGTCACAGATCTACAAGTCCAATATCTGAAATACAACAAGTCAAACAACGAGGAAAGCCAAAAAAGGAAAAGCAACAATAAAAAGCTGGAAATAACTGCCAGTAACACAACTGTATCGTCTCCTGGTCCGGGTATAGTCCAGGTAAAAAGTCACGGGAGGTCGAGTGCACCAAGAGATAAGACCGGCTACCCAACTCTGAATGAAGGGTATCCTATCTGGTCCATCCGTATAAGGGTGCAGAGGCGAAGAGGAATATCGTCAGGATAGAGAATGCGTCTCTGGGGGGTGGAGGACCCGATGCCTGCGAGGAAGTCAGCAGGGCGGTTCCCCTCACGGAAGATGTGCGAGATCTGATAGCGAATCGACCGAAGTGTGGCCCTAATACCCATGAGCGGATGCTGAATCTGCCATGCGCCCTGATGGTCAGTGGTCAAGAGAGTGATGACAGCGGCAGCGTCCAACTCTATCCAAATGTGAGAGGAGATCGAGGTAGCAATCTGAAGGCCGATCTGAAGCGCCTGAATCTCAGCGTCGTAGCTCGAAGAGGCTTGAAGAGGGGCATGAAAAGCGGTAATAAGGGCCTCGCTATGGTCCCTAATCAGACCCCCGCCTCCGGCGGCTCCGGTAAATCGGTCAAAGGATCCATCAGTGTTCAGCTTAACCCAAAGAGGCTCGGGTTTCAGCCAAACAACAGCTCTGGGGCGTGGATGCTGGACAGGTGACAGTGGAGGTGGTGTAAGGCGGTGATGAGGCGTGCAACCTGTCCAGTCTCTATGCGTGAGTCTGCCCAAAGCAGTGAGGAGAGATAGGTGTCGATCAACCTGCAAGATAATATGAGAAGACAAAAAAGAGTTATCCCTATGCTTCGCATTATTCCTTTCTGTCCAGGTGGCCCAAAGGATCAAACAAGGAATAAGGAAGCCCACGTGTCTATTGTGTGTGCTGTGTCTGAAGAAACTCAGAAGCTCAACGAAATTATCTGTGGAGGGTAGGGATATATGAGTGAAACTGGTATAATGCTCCCACACTCTCCTCACAGTCTCGCTGTCAAGAAACAAATGGCTAAAGGTCTCAGTCTGAAAAACGCCGGTCTCAACACAACAGTAACAACGTGAGGAGAATGAGAACCCTCTCGTCTGCATCACAATGCCAATCGGTAGGCGGCGCAGAAGAAGGCGCCATAGAAAAACAGAAATGGTCGGGGTAAGTAGGTCGGTCCAGATAGCCCCGAAGAGAAGGTTAGGCCGGTCTCCCAGCCGTACTTCCCCCCAAGCCGAGGTCGCAGAGATGGGTATCTGCTGGATATCTGCTGGGTATCTGCTGGATCTCATACTGTCCAAACCACCCTCCGAGATGGGTATCTGCTGGATCTCATCTATCTCCTGGTCACTAAAGCCCGCTCCACTACCCAGAATCCTCTCTAATCTATCCCTATCCCATCCCCCATCCGTCCACAGGTCCTTCACCTGCAGAAAGGGAAGGTGGGTGACCTGTCCAGAGCTCGAAAAGGACCCCTCACCAAACCACCACTCATCCCAAAAGCTAATGTCCCCCTCACCCAAAGTCCAAAAAATGTGCTTTTGGGCACGTCTACCAACTATGGTGAGCAACCTCCACGGTCTGCTATCGCGGGCGGTGGCCCTCATCCTACAGGGGTGGACAGCGCCTCCAGGACAGTACTTCTGACGAAGATACTGGGCCCAAATGGACTTACCCTCCCTGAAGCGCCACCACATCTTATAAGAGAATGCGGTAACAACGTCCGAAAAGCGGCGGATCCCGAGGCCCCCCTCAGAGAAGGGGCGACACACCGAGTCCCACTTCACCCAGTGGACCTGTCTACCTCTCTGGGAGCCCTCCCCATGCCCCCAAAAATATCGAGCCAATTATGCTCACAAGAAAACTGGTGTGCAATTTATGCTCACAAGAAAACTGGTGCATTGCTTATTTTGCTAATCTAAGTGAAATTTTTCATATTTGATGATGATGTCCACTAAATATTTGATTCCACATGTTAGTACACGAATTATATATAGTTTAAATTTCCTGAGCTGCTCAATTGTTTTTCTTGGATATTTTGAAGGATTTGTGATACTTCTGTTTATTCCTACTTTCAGTATCAAGTTTTACCTTCTTGATTTGCAATTGTTCCTCTNGGCGTCGTTTATTAATTTCTTTGTTTATTTTTGTTGGAACCATTTTTTTTTTCTTTTTACTTCTCTTTTAGTTGCGTTCAGTTAAAACCAACCACAAATGGTTTCAACAGTAACTCTACTCACGGCTGCAGTTTTCTCTTTGTTTGTTTATTGGAACAGATTGGAAGACTATCTTTACATAATGAGTAACAAATACATAATTTCTTATATGTTATACTGCTGAATCTTACAAACAAACAAACAAATAATAAATAAATAAATACAAATTGCAAATATGAGCACAATTGAGAACTCCAGACCTAATAGTGGTGCAGTAAGAGAAGGGCAGGTTGAGGAAAAGAAGTTGGGGAGCACTGTTTCAGTTCACAAGCTGTTCTCCTTTGCTGACTCAATGGACAAATTTCTGATGACAGTAGGAACAATTGCTGCCATTTGCAACAGGCTTGCACAACCTCTCATGACCCTCATTTTCGGTGAATTAATCGATGTCTTTGGTAGAGCCGAGGGTAAACATATTATTGTACATGAGGTATCCAAGGTACGTTAGAAATATAACTAGAGAAATTCACATAACTACATATCATCAATTAGTGTTAACAAGTTTATACTGCAGATTTAGGCCCTTCAATAATGTAAATTAATTTTTTCATAATTTGTAGGTAGTACTTGAATACGTTTACTTAGCCTTGGGATGTGGGGCGGAAGCATTTCTTAGTAAGTGCGGGAAATATTCGTGTAAATATCATGTTGAAGACCTTCTCGATAAATTTTAACTGAATTATTGTTTTCGAATTTTCTTTTCTTGAATAATAGAGGTGGCATGTTGGATGATTACAGGAGAAAGGCAGTCTGCAAGAATTAGGAACCTTTACCTAAAAGCTATACTACAAGATATTGCTTATTTTGATGTGGAAGTAAGTGCAGGGGAAGTAATTGGTCGGATGTCAGGTGACACTATTCTAATTCAAGATGCCATTGGCGAGAAGGTCAACTTATGTGTTTATGCACATATATATACATATATATATATATATATATATATATATATATATATATATATTTCGTGTTTGTGTTTTTTCTGATTGTACATATTTGATGTGTGTAGGTGGGAAAATTCGTACAGGTGATTGCGTGTTTTACAGGAGGCTTTGTGATTGCGTTTGCAAAAGGGTGGCGTCTAACGTTAGTAATGCTATCATACAGTTGCAGTTGATGTATGAGGAAGCAAGTCAATGGCTAGTGATGCCGTTAGCAATATAAGAACGGTTGCCCCTTTTTCTGCGCAAGAGAGGATTGTAGAGACGTACAAGAAGAAATGCAAAAGGCTATCCAAAAATGGTGTGAAACAAGGATTGGTGAGTGGTATGGGATTCGGTTTTTCTATATTCTTGTTGTACTCGGTCTACGCCACTAGCTTTTATGCAGGGGCACGGCTAGTTAGGGATGGGAAAGCAACTACTTCGGATGTATTTCGCGTGAGTTATATATAATTTCCGTTAATATCATATCATACATTACTTTTAGACTCGTGACTCTTGATTAACCAAATTTTTTTGCAGGTTTACTATGCTCTAACAATGGTAAAATCGAACTCGAGCTAATATGTCCAATGGAAAGGGGGGAAATGCGACTGAGGCAGAAATTATAGAGGCAGCAAAGTTGGCCAATGCACATCAGTTCATTAGTGGATTGCAGCAGGTATACATTCAGATTTATTTAATATTCAATTATATTTGTTTAAGGTATAAATTATTTTATGTCGAAAATTTTGGATTTTAGCAGGGATATGATACGGTGGTTGGGGAGCGTGTGGTTCAGTTATCGGGTGGCCAAAAGCAACGGTTAGCCATTGCTAGAGCAATCGTAAAGAGCCCGAAGATACTGCTATTAGATGAGGCTACGAGTGCATTGGATGTCGTGTCTGAGAAAATAGTTGAGGAGGCACTCGACAAAGTTATGGTGAATAGGACTACCATTATTGTGGCACACAGTCTATCAACAATAAGGGGAGTGAATTGCAGTACTTAAAAATGGAAGCATTGTGGAGAAAGGGAATCACAATGCTCTTATTGATATCAAACATGGTTTCTACTCCTCTCTTGTCAAGATTCACTCCAATGCTTTGTCTTGAACCACAAAATTACCCATGCAATTCAAAGTTGATTATCTATCTAATTTTTGAACTTAACATTTTTCTT